CGAATCCCTCTGTCTGCTGTGTTTTGAGAACGTCCCTACTGCTACATGCCACACTTGAAATTTTTCCAGCCTTTGAATTCTTTAACTCGTAGAGAAAAGGACTCTCTCAAGACCCTGAGATGGTAACAATAACAAGAAAAGTAAGGAAATCATGAGCATAGACAACAGGAAGCAGCTTCATTTGAAGAAGGCAGGGATGCTAGTGATTGGAGGGGACCTTGGGAGACACTGGGAATGTTCTACACCTTGGCTAACCTGAGAGGCTTCTATTTGTCTTAATGTTTCTATTGATTATTAGAAATGTCACATAATACATCTCATCACATTCACTTCCCAATCCTCCCAGGTGTACCCCTGACCCTTGTGACCTCCCCAAAAACAAAAGAAGGAGAAAAAAAGAAAAAAAAATAGCAAGCCCATTTTGTGTGGCTCCTATACTGGAACAGGGCCAAACTCCCAGTGGCCTACCCCTTAAAGAAAATGGAGTTCTCTGCCTGCATCCCCATCAGAAGCCATCAGCTGTGAAGAGCTATGGCAGTTTTTAAGAGTTCCCTTCAATGGCTTCCTAGCTACACTGTTTTTCTTTCTTTTTTTTTTTTTTTTTGGAGAGGGGGAGGTTGTCACAGAGAGGCTTCTATTTTGTGGCGATCTGTTTAGCTCTGTCCATTTCATATACGCCTCTGCCTTTTATTCTAGTCAACAAAACACAAGAGAAGCACAAGGCAGATATTAACTGCGTGGCTACAGTATGACTGGCAGAAACACAGTTCACTAAAATACCGTGCCATGCAGGAAGGGAGGAGGGAGGAGGCTCCCACAGGGGCCCTCGTATAGGAAGAGGCAAACACAAAGACAGAGCCAGGACGAAGAGGGTGGAGGGTAGGACACCGGGCTGTGACAGGGATCGGTGGCTGCTGCTGGAGTGGAACGTTCAACCCGGCCACCACGGCTGACTTAGTCATTTTGCCTCCTTAGATCCCAGCTTCCTCTCCTGAGACAAGAGCTGGCAGGCGCCTGCCTCACGGGGATATGGAGAAGAGCTATGTCAGTTCACACGGGAAAAGCACCAGGAGATGGAGGGAACAGGATCTGTGTTTCTGGAGTGAGGAAAGGCCACTCGGGGAAGGAGACCATCCACATGTGACTGTACACTAGCCTGCTTCTCTAGGATACAAGTGCCCCAACTCTGACCCAAAGGAAATGGAGACCCCAAAATGTCACATCACGTCCCTCAGCTCTTCTACCCAGCACCAACTTTGTGGACATGTGACCAATGCAGTCCCATAGGGTCCCATTCCTTTGGAGCGGAGTGCCCATATGTGGTATTTTCTGTTTGTTTTGAGACACTTTCTTTCTTTCTTTTTTTGGTTTTTCGAGACAGGGGTTCTCTGTGTAGCTTTGCGCCTTTTTCTGGATCTCACTCTGTAGACCAAGCTGGTCTCGAACTCACAGAGATCCACCTGCCCCTGCCTCCTGAGTGCTGTTCATCATACAGCCTCAGTTGACCTCAAACTCAGAATCCTCCTGCCTCAGCCTCCCAGGTTCTGGGATTACAGGTGTGTCCCACCATGGCTGGCTCCCATGTATCATCTTGAAAGTCTTCATCATTTTCTGCAACTGTTTTGTGACGTCTGAGTTTCCATGGAGGCCTGCCTCCATCTCTGGGCTGTCTAAAGCCCCGCTTCCCTCTCCTCCGGGCCTGCGGTAGGCCTCGCTTAGACTTATGCAGTCCTCCACCTCCGGTAGGGAACACCAGAGTCAGGCCTGTGTATCCCGTGTTGTCTCAGGCTAGAACACAGTGGCTGTCCTTCATCCCACCCCTGCCCAGGGACCTTGGGCTGCAGTACTGTAGTGTACCTGGTGTGGGTGGCCAGTTGGAGACTGAATCTTGGCAGGACTGACACTCTGGGCCATCCCTGCCGCAGCTACCAAGCAGGTCTTGATGCCCAGGGGTGAAGATGGGGAGCTGCAGTTGTCTGTCTGCTCAAAGTGGGGGGCTCTCGGTGGAGGGGACACCTGGCGTGGCAGTCTAGTATCTGCTAAGAGCCGAACAATTGCCATCAGGCCTGACGTGCACGTGCTGGCAACCTGGCTTCGTGGGTGGTCCTGGGCAGGGATGGGATGAGGGACGGCCTGCTTCTCTTTTTCCTTTTAACCTGCCTGAGCCTGGCTGGAGTCTGGTCTCTCGGGCCCACTAACAGCACCTCTGGAAGCCAGCAGTAAAACACAGGTTGTCTAATTCCAGGGTTTTGCGTGTGCGCTAACTGCCCCAGTAATTGCACTTCAAACAGGTTTTGTGTGACATTAAGATGAATTGCATAACTCACCCGAAGTCTTTATTTTCTCCTCGGTGCTAAGTGGCAAAATGAAAAGAAGCGTGGCAAGCTCTGGGAGAGGCAGCTGGAGAAAGCTTTCTATTTATCTTACAGCACTTCCCCCAGGACAAGAGTCTAGCACTCCATCTCTGTGGCCAGCCCAGCCCCTTCCTCTGCGCTCCATGTTCTTACAGGGCTCCTGTGATGTGGACCTGGGTTGATGGCCTGCTCTGAGGTCCCGACAGCTCACCTTAGGGTTTGTCACAGCAAGCGTTCAGAACCGTGTCCCCTTTGGGCAGGGCCTCTGTATACGCATGCATACACACATACACACGCACACATCCTTCTAGACACACTGTAAGTCCTCTGCTCTGGTATGATAACACAGGAACTGCATGTGATTCTTCATTTCTATGTCCAGCCTCTTTCTGGGCTTATATGGTCACTCAGTAAGTACCCAATGAGTGATGGGAGGGGATGTCAGGTGGTGCCTCCCAGTGTCCTGTCTTTGGTAGCATCCTGAACTTAAGGTCCCATGAGCAAATCCAAGGCCTGTTCCATGCAACCAAGATCAACCCCTTTAGCAGCTAGGCCAATGAATAACCATGCCTGAATCATAAAACACCCTATGTCACGGTGGTACATAGCTGTCATTCAAGTAACCAGGGGCAATGCTAGACATCTAGCCTACTGTGCCTTGGCCACACAGCATTTCCTCATGCTGAGCAGGTTGCTGCCTTGGGGCCCTCATAGTTTGATTGATTGATTCATTCATTCATTCATTCATTCATTCATTTCTTTTATTTTCCCTTCCTTTCCTCCTCCTTTCATTCCTTCCCTTTTCCCCCTCCTTCCCTTATTCTGTTTCTTTTGGGGCAATAGATCTCATGCAGCTAGGGTTAGCCTCAAATGCCTTAGGACACTGAGCATGACTGTGATCTCCTGATTCTCCTACCCCGACCTCCCATTTGTTAGCATTACAGGTGTTCACCACCCCTCATGTATATTTGGTATCAGGGATCAAACTCAAGAGCTTTGCGAATGCTAGGCAAATATTTTACAACTGGACTACCAACCTAGCACCCCACACCCCACACCCCACACGTGGGGGCGGGGCTTCACCGTCGTCCTGCCTGCCTGGAACTCGCTATGGCCTCAAACTATGCGTGGTCCTCTAGTCTCGGCTTCCAAGTGCTGGTGCTAAGGGCAGCCTTCACTTCCTGTTTTCTAGAATGTTCTCAACTGTTGCGTGCAAGCCCTGCTGCGTCATGCGATCTTGTGTCTTCACTCAAGCATCCTCCCATCTAAAGTGGGACTCCCTCCCCCTGGTCACTGGCCTTTCCCTTCCGTACCTGCCTCCAGAGACCCCCCCCCATTTCCTGAGTGTACTTGCTTGTCCACACTCTGCCTCCTGCTGTGAGAACGGAAGCTGCACTAGAAAAGTGCAGTCCGGAGGGAGCACTCGAGAATACCCCAACGGTCCAGTATGCAGTGAGCACCCGAGAATACTGGGCAGGTAAACAAATGAACAGGTGAATGGATTTCAGCATCACCCTGACAATCCTGCAAAGTTCCTGTTCTGAATACATCACAGTTCTCCCTGAAATTGATTTGTTCCTTTATCAAAAAGAGAAAAAAAAAAAACCTATTATTGCTTTCTATAAAAAGTACTTTTGTTCATATCTTACTGAACACGGCTGCTGAATGAAGACTCCGTGCCCTAGGCAGAATACAGCAGAGAGGAAGGCAGAGAGGACATTCACAGCGGGGATGCCCCGGAGCCTCTCAGAAGCAGGGGAGGATGAGCCCATTTTCTCCGGCTGCTCACATTCTTTTCAGTGTGTTTCCCAAAGCTCCCACTTTCCAGAAACATGCTGTGCAGCTGCATTTTCTGCCACTGCCTGCAAAGCCTAACAGGCCACTTAG